AAATAATACAGATTATAAAAGTATATAAATTTTAAAAATATAAATAATTATATAAATTATATACACGTAGTATTAAACTTTATAAATTATATACACGAATTTTTTATCAAACTAGTATCCCGTTATCCAATCCGATGTAAAATTTCAAAATCTATAACACGTCTGTTATAAAATTTTAAATTCGAACCCACCCATTAACACTAGATCCGGGTCCGAGTCCGGGTCGGGTCCAAGCGTAACCAATTCCAATTATCATCTCCATGTGAGTGGAAAAAAGAGATCAATCAATTAAAGAGTATTTTTGCCAAACAGAAATAATCAATAACTACTACATTTTGGAATAATAATAAAAATAAAAATAAAAATGAAGTATTTATTGGGATAAAAATGGGTTTATTCACCTAATTTTGTTTTGTGATACCTAATATTATTAAAAAATATAATACATATTCACACAATATATATATATATATAATATATTCTATCTACTAGTAATCATATTTTTTACATTGACAACTATCATTCTTTTTTGAGTGAACTCGAAAGTTCAATACAAAATACCAATATTTCTATATTGTTAATACAATTTTCATATTTAACATTAAAAAATACATAAATTCAAAAAACACAAAGTCAGCACATAAATATATTTAGTAGTATTTGATACGCTTATTCTGTCACTTTTTTTTAAAAAAAATATTATACAGTTTAATACTATCTCCCTCCGTCGTTCAAATTTATACTCAGTTTTTTTTGGATTGTTATCAAAAAATTATTCTTGTTTCCTTTTTAAGTAAAAAATCTTTATACTTTTGCATTTTTTTTACTATAAAAGAAAAAATTAACAATTATTACTCGCTTTTATTAAAACTCGTACTCGGTCAAATAAGAACACATTTGCATGACGGAGGGAGGATCATTTAAAACTTTTTAATTTAATTTTTTTAATTTTTATTATACTAATTAGTTATTTTAATATTAATTTAAAATTATTTTTATTAAATAATAATTATTTTTGCTAATACATTCTTAATTATTTATTTAATTATACTTCTTCTAAATTCCACCGTGTCTACACTAAAAGGGACACCATATGGACAGAGGGAGTATTATCATTTTTTAAATAAAAATATTACTCCCTCCGTCATATAACAAAGTATCCATTTTTTCATTTTAGTCTGTCCTATAACAAAGTATTCATTTTTTTTTTTTATAGTAACTGTACTATCTACCTAACATTACAAATACCTTTACAACTTACAATATATTACACAAATGTCATTACATTTATATCACACATACTAATAAGGTTATTTTAGTTATTTTTACTTTATTCCTACTATATCCCAATATAATATTAATTTTCTAAAATTACGTGTAAAAAACAAATGAATATTTACTTATGGAACGGAGGGAGTATTAATAAATTATGTTAAAACTTCCAAAAATATATACTTTTTCTGTTACAGTGAAATGTACTTCTTTTAATTTTTTTAATAAATTAAAAAATAATACTCTATGTCCCGATGCAAGATTGCCGTTTACTTTTTGTACGTAAATTTTTAAATATTAATATTATAATGGGTTGTAGTGAAAAAGACGAAAATACCTCTATTAGTATTGTGTAATATAAAAATAATGATATTTGTGTAATATAGTGTAAGTTGAAAGGGTATTTATTATGTTAGATAGGCAGTACAGTTACTAAATTAGGAAATGATAACCTTATTTTAGGACGGACGAAAATGAAAAATAGTAACCTTTCAATGGGACAAAAGGAGTAATAATAATAATAATAATAATAAGAACACCCTTAATATTACGATTTTGTTTGCATGTTTTGGCCTTTTGAACGAGTTGTAGAAGATTACTGTTTTATAGTATTTGCTTAGAAAACATATATTTCTTTGTCCCATAAAAGCTATCTATTTTCATTTTGCGACATTATACTTAACATTAAAAATATATATTATATTTACATAATTTTTGTACAAATGTTATTATATTAGTATAATAAGACATTAATAAAAATATTTTTGTCATTTTCTCTTGATTTGTAATATATTTTGATATAATAATTACTATTCAAAGATCAACATGCAAAAAAATAAATAGATACCTTATTATGGGACAAATAAAGTATTAAAGGTAAATATTTTTTTAAAAATATTATATTAAAAAATAAATAAATACAAATAAAAACAAGAGTAAACAATTGTAATTGTCGGAGAGCTTTAATACGAGTTGCTTGATGATTCATTAATAATTGAGTATATAGAATTGTTGGAACGCCGATTATACTTTCGTTCACCGTCAATTTATCCGTTTACTTTTTGCATATTAATATTTAAATATTAATTATTATATAAAAACATAGTACAAATCAAATCAAGGAAAAACGACAAAAATATTTCTATTGGTGTCTTATAATACTAATGTAATGATATTTGTACAAAAAATTATACAAATATAAGGATATTTTTAATGTTAAAAACAATGACGCCAAATGCAAATTGATAGATTGACGGTGGACGAAAGTAGTATTAAATTTATTGATATAAAATTGTGCATTATTCATATACATCTTTTTATTAGTGAATTAATTCAATTCAATAACTGTGTTGGGGTGCAAACCCAAGTCCCGGATTGTAAGTTGCGAAGAAAATTATACTTTATAAATCTCAATGAATGAGGCCTTTTGGATAATATCTAAAAACAAATCTGTGCGAACTCAGTCCAAAACGAAGAACATCAAAATTGTTGAATGTTTATATACGACTTTACCACAAAGTTGACATTAAAAAAAATGCATAAATAAAATTCAAAGTTCATGGAACTCAATTTGAGTGATTACTTGTGTTAAATATGAAAAATATATTCAACTACATATAAAATATCGAAAACCTTAAAATAAAATAAAAAGCAAAACATTGACTACAGTTAAATAGTGATATAAACTATATTATAAAATATATTTATATACACTTTCCATCCACATCAAAAATAAAATATTCCTATGTCGTATTTTATATTCTATTAACTGAATTTCAAGTGCAATTTAGTGAATATACTAGTATACACTACTTACTATGTATAAAATATTAATTATTATTATTATTATTTAAGCAACAAAATAAATGATGTAATTAAAATTCTAATTAGTACTAATCTCGGGTGTGTTCTTCTGAAAAAATTTTCAAAATTTTTACTATTTATAAAAAATATTTCTCTACAAATATCATATCAAATCAAATATCAAATTTTTATTTTTTGTACTATAGTACTCAAAAAATAACTTTATATTCAAAATATCAAATCGCGTTATCAATATAATTCCTTTTGTACCTAACATAAATAAGACATTCATCCAAAAATATAAAATAAGCTAACTTTTTCTTTGCAGATGAACCCTAATCAGTGCCGGCCCCGAAAATAAATGGATGGATAGATAGATCCGTTGTTGATTAGATCAAATCAATATAAATATATAATAAAGACATATAACATATATTATATACAATATTTAACTACAAAGAAAACAATATTAAACTAACTATGGTATATAAATTTATTCTAGTAAAAAAATATTATTATTATTATTATTATTGGTCTCAAACTTACTCAATCGATCAGCAATAACCAAACAGTGCAAACAATCCTGCCTACTTACTATCAATTAAGTATGTCAATTTGTGATTTCTGAGTCGTGTTTGTGTTGAATTCAGTGCAAAAAAATATCAACACAAACCCGAATCGAACTCGAAATTTGACCCGAAACCTTAGACATGAACATGAACATGACATGACACAAATTTTTCCGAGTCGGGTTCAGGTCAACTGATTTAGTTTCAGGTCACCCGAATTCCGAACAAACCTAAAGGTACTTTAATTTTTACACATTTATACCATTATTCATAAGTCGATGTGTAGATAAAACGGTAAATATATCTATACTTACATAGAGCAAAAACTAGATGTAAATCTGATAAGGTGCATTGCATAGACGACACAACAAAAGATACCAAAACAAAAAAAAGATACCAAATAAATTAGTTATGCAAAATCTACAACTTCTTCAAAGATCATGATGAAGTAGAATACAATAAAGCAAGTCGCCACACAACAATAACCAATAGCAAATTCAGAAAGAGTCGCACAACACACGGTAGTATGACATCAAATACATCAGAAATCAAAGATCCTTCAGCAGAAAAGTATAAAATTCATAATCCAATATAGAGTTCAAGACAGTTCAATATCAACCAGATCATTAGTGACAGCATCCCGACAAAACTTATGATAACATGGTTCCCAACAAACCGATTAATTTTCAAACTTTCTTGGCAAGATGTAATCAAGATATGCATGTCCGATACACAGAAACATCCATCACTAACACAGTTTTTCTTTTTGTTCATCACTTCAAGATCTCCACATTCGACATACGAATAAGTATTTTTATTATTGTCGCACAAAAGAGCTTCATAGAAGTTAAAACCAACACGAACCCTATAGGCATGGATAACTTCCCATTTCTAGATTCAGGAAAATAACATTATTTGAAGAAAGTCGAAAGGTAACTATGATCCTTATGAACAACCCTATATCAACATTGATTTCTTATGAAGATGCCGGCAATTTTCTAGAATGTAAAACTATGGGCAAATTGTATTAATCATCACTCCCGTAGGTTGCTCTGTTTACATATGTTTTCAACTATGTTTTCTTGGCACTATTCATTATTTTTTTTTCCCTCTAAAATATATCACGTCACATTTTCTAATTAAAATACTACATAAGAAATCTATCTTTTAAGCTAAACATCGCACTTCATCTATTTATATCACAACACATCAAATATCTATCTATTTTTTGACCTTTTTACTATTCCCAAATCTCTTCAAAACTCCAGAACGTATCTAAATACACATATTGATGTTCAAGCTACCATAAACGTAGTGCAACCAATTATTTCCTCCTTATTACTTTTACCACGAAACTAAAGGTCAACTTAGAACACGACAGAAAAAGTGATACATTTCATGTTTCCAATTTCTTGTTACATTAGAGTAATGACTTTTGGAAAGCTATCAACAAAAGATATTATCGACAACAAACAACAGACCAGACCTGCGATACAGAAAATTGCTTGCGTCATTCCTGAATCAATGTTGCTGGAAGTTATCTTGATGCCGGCGGAGTTACCTATCTTGCTTAATCTACAAAAAAATCTGATTATCAGCAGAAACAGGGGAACCATTCAGAACATCATCAAATTAGTAGAAGCTCCGACCACAAATGGCTCCATCAGCAGTCTTGTCAAGAAGTAAAATATGATTCCCAGAGTAATTGAAATGGGAAGCGCCGGCAATGCATGACGACACACAGCCAATAATATGAGCGTACACCCAAGTCCACATATGATCGCAAGATAACAGGCATAAACAGTCATGAGATCATACATTGCCGCCCTCCCGACAAGTACACTATAAAAAATGAAATCTCCCATTCCAAGTTTTATCCCTCTCAGATTCCCTTCTTCCATTTCCACCCCCTCCCTCTCATTTCCTCGCGACACCCTGTTTACAGAACGATTATTTTCCAAAAGGTTTGAATCACCATTGCCGCGATAATTACTGCTTTCGCTTGGCCCTACTACCCTATCGATCGAATTTCCATCTCCCATCAAAGGCGACGTCTCACCAAGATCATCATCTTCCTTTACCTCCTCAATGTCATCTCCACTAATCCTCACATCATTCTCAACTGAAATCATCAAATGCTCATTCCTTCCACGGATCTCGATTCCATTGCGGCGATCAACATTCCTCAACAATTCCTGCAATTCTACAGAACCACTATTGTTATCACCACTCATCCCTAACCCGGCCGAAACCAAAAGCCCTAAACTTGAAGCCCTAGAACCAGAATTCCTCCCTACATTCGGCCTCGACTCGTAAACCAATGCAGGCAACTCTTCATCCCTACTGGATGCCAACTCCACCAGCATCTTCAGAGGTCCACCGGGAGCCAAAACAGCAGCTAAATCATACAATGCTAATGCCACCAACACAATCCAAGTAGTCCATTCCGGCAACCGAGAGAACCACGCCGCCACTATAATCCCCAACGCCACCATGTTACTCTGCTTCACAATGATCGGAATTCCAGAGGAAAACACGGAAATAGTTCCCAAAATAGTGAAATTAAAGAGCAACACATAGAATGTCACGACGTCGACGGGGATGCTGAATCGCTGGATTATAGAAATTAAAATTGAGCTCCCCATGGCGGAGAAGATCATGAACACGGAGAATCGAGTGTAGTAGATTAGGAAATTAGTGAATCGATAATAATAGAGAAGGACGAGAAGGAAAGTTACGAGGGTAATGATAACCACGAAAACAACCGCGTTTAGGATCGCTCCCTCAAGCTTTTGTGCGGTGGAATCCGACGGGGACTCGAGGTAGACCAAATTTGCGGCGGTGCGTATGGTGGTGGCGGCGGCGGAGGATGAGGCGGGGTTGTAGACGGTGTAGACGAGGAGGACGACGAGGAGCATGCAAATGGAGACGGGCGACATCACGCCGATGATTTCTTGACCGATTGACTCGAGGATGCTTCCGCTCTCCATTTGGGCGGTCGGTGAGCGGCGGCGGAGGTGGCGTCGCCGGGATCGGAGTAGGGATTAGGGATTTGGGAGAAAAGGACGATGGGGGTTTGGGGTAGCGAATCTGAGGGTATATTCGTAATTTCCACTCCTGATACTTAAAAAGGAAAACGTACATAAAACAATTGTCCCTGTGATTAGTTAATCCAGTGGAGCCAGTGGACCCTCTTCTGCATTTATGCTCAATGTAGAGACGTGGCCGTTACATCATCAAAATGAAAATTAAAAAAAAAAAAACTATTTCATATGTCCGACATAATTTGTACATATTTTTTACTTTCGTCTGTTTCACACAATTTTTTTTATTATACATTTTAATCATATTTTAAAATTTATAATTTTTAACTTTTTTTAATCTTAATTAAACTATTTAGTTATCTTAATGTTAATCTATAATTATTTTTAATAAATAATAATTATTTCTATTATTACACTTCTTAATTACTTACTAATTATACTTTACTTAAATTATCGTATCTACAGTTATGCGCTTCTTAATTACTTACTAATTATACTTTACTTAAATTATCGTATCTACAGTTATGCGCTCGTCTTATTTAAGACCGAGGGAGCAAAAAACAAACAAAAATGCTTTTTTTTTTTTCTTTAATAAAAAGTCATATTCATTTTGCATAGAAACTATACATTCATTTGAATTGAAGATGAATAAATAAATACTACACCCGTTCGACTCTAAGGTTCTCATTTATTTTTTATATGTTGATATTTAAATATTAATTATTATATCAAAATATAGTACAAATTAAAAATAATTACAAAAATATTTTTACTAGTGTCTTATAATACTAATAGAATGATATTTGTACAAAGAATTATATAAATATAAAGATATTTTTAATGTTAAGTACAATGACGCAAAAGGTAAATATAACCCTCAGAGAAGGACGAAAGGAGTATAATATTTTGTTAAGATATATTTTAAAAATATACATATATTATATTTATGGTATATGTTTTATTTAATAGATTTATGAAATTCTTGATTTATTTAGACGATTTACAAGCTATTATAAATATATACGAATTCTTGTTGGGGGTGCAAACCCAAGAAAATTCCACATCTTACAAGTTTGATATAAACTCTACTAGTATAAGGCTTTTAAAAGTAAGTTCAAAAATAAATCCGTGTGAGCTCAGCCTAAAACAGAGAATATCATACTTAGTATTGACTTGGTCCAGTCCCAACAATTCTTATGATTGAAATAGAGTAAATTCTCTTTTGATAGATCATAAACCATTATATTATGTATTTATTCATATAATTCTATGTGTATATGTTTTTACTACATCGTGCCGCTACTTCAATATCGACAAAATTCTGCCATCGATTCTAACTTTGTCGAAATTTTTGTTTTTTTTTTGTTTTTGTTTTTATTTTCACAATGTTGAGAGCCCTATTTTCGAAATGATCCAAGGCACAAAAAACTTTCAAAACACATGTTGAGCCAGTATTTTTTATTCGGCAACTTTTGATGAATGAAGTATACTATGACTTAGGCCCCGGGATTAGCTTCTGTAAAGTGTTTTTGGCTTCTGCTTCTAAAAAAGATATTTTTTCATATTTGCATTGGCTCTTCCTTAAAAACAGAAGTAACCTTTAGGCTCCAAAAAGTGTTTTTTAGAAGCACCTGAGGCCCCGTTTGGATTGGTTTATAACAGCTGCTTTTGGCTTCTGCTTGTAAAGAAAAATACTTTGTATCTGTTTGCATCGGTTTCTGTCTAAAAACAAATGCAGTTTTTTAGGCTGCAAAATGCTTTTTTCATAAATACATTGAAGGTAGCTTCTGAAATAAGCAGAATCACTTTTAAATTAAAATTATTATTTTATCTTTAATAATAATAATAATAAATACAATAATATAATAAGATATAAAATAATTAAGTCGTAAGACCATGTATGGGGCTGACGCCTGTCCATTGCTGGAAGGTTAAGGAAGTTGGTGACCTGATGACAGGGGAGCTGGCGACTGAAGCCCCAGTGAACGGTGGCCGTAACTATGTTATATTTGAGTTAAAATCTAAAATTATAACTAAGATACCAAATTTAAATAAGAGTATATAAAATTTTTAATTATACTAAAACTATTAAATATAATTTATAAAAATTTAAAATAAATTAGAAAATACGAATTATTTAAAACTTCCTCCGTCCAGTTACAAAGTATACATATTTTTATTTTGGAACGTTCAATTACAAAATAACTATTGCATTAAATACTCTACTTTCTTCTACAAATACTCTTACTTTACATCACATCATTACTTTTATACCAAAAATATAATTACACTACTTTTACCTACCCACTATACTTAAAATACTATTATTTCTTAAACTTCGCGCCAAAAGTAAATGTATACTTCTTGCTTGGACGGAAGGAGTATTAAATTGTAATTTTATTTTTAATTTATATATTTTCTTTAAATTAAAATTTAAAAATATAAATAAGTAAATTTTAAAAACATATTTTTTATACTTTTATTTAAAATATTTAAATATAATTAAAATATTATAAAAAATTTCTAGAAAAATACAATTATATTAAGAATATTTTCTTTTAAGTAATTTTAACAATTTAAAATCATTTTTAATTTTATTACATCTAAACAGTTTTTTTATGAAAAATCATTCATTCAAACACAAAATCGAACTGTTTCTTGCTTTTGGCTTTTGCTTCTTCTTATTTTTTAAGTCAATCCAAACAGACCCTCATGAGGTGCTTCTTGAAAAAGCAAAAATACTATCTAAATTACAATTTTAACAATAATAATAATAATAATAATAATAATAACAACAAATTAAATAATAAAATATAAAAAAAAAATAATTCATTTATATAAATTTTAAATAGAATTGTATTTTAATTATTAATTTATATATTTTATTTTAATTAAATTTAAAATTTATGACTGAAAATATCAAAATTTAAAATTATAAATTTAATTATATAGTATATAATTTATAAAGTTAAATAATTTGTAGAATTTGTATTATTTAAATTTAATTATATTTTAAATTTTCATTTTTATAAAAAAAATACATAAATTTTAATAAATATATTTTCAATTAGTTTAGGTAATTAAAAGTTTTAAATATAATTTATAAAATTCTAAATAAATTAGAAAATTTTAATCAACAATACTATTTACATTACTATATCCTATTTGGTAATTTTAACAATTTAAAAAGCACTTTCAACATTATTATATCAAAACAATTTTTTTTTTTAATAAAAAACTGATTTTATAATTATTATCCATTATTATCTAAACATAAAATCGAACTGCCTATGTATGTTTCTTTGATCCATATGGTTTGTATAAATTATTTGTGTTTTTGCATCTTTGTTTACGCCTAATTTTAGAACAACAATGTCGTTAGAATACAAAGTAATCCATCATTGTTCTTAGGATTCGACATATATGATCCTTCCTTGCAAACAACCAGTGACGGAACAATCAGTAGAAGTTCGGGGGGCAAAATCGATTTTTTTTTTTTTTTATCGATTTAATTTTTTATTATTCATAGTACAACTTGGCAAAAAAAAATAGAAAATCTAAATGTTTTAGAAAAAATTTCAACAAAATTATATAAAACTTAATACTTTTTTTACTATAAAAAATAAAATTTAAAGACCAAAAATATAAAAAAAATTTATGATTTTTTACGTTTCAAAATAAAAAAAATAAAAATTAGGAGAAATAAATTATTATAAAATGCATAATTTTATTATTTTTTATATAAAAATACATATATTTAGAGTTCCGTCCCTGCAAACAACCAATCATCCTCTGACGACGACAACCTCCTCCGCCGCGGAGTTCAGCCGTCAACCACAACCATCGACGATCACCGTTGATTTTGGTGTTGGGTAGTGGTCTCATCCTAATTTGTAATGCTTTGAATCCAATTATTGGGATAATTTGCCTTGGATTATTGTGATTGGTATTTGGGACTCCAAGCTTGAAACCAAATCGTGCACCATAGTTTGGTGTGCTACAGCGCAATGCCATTTTTTTGGTGTTGGCTCCATTTTCTTTAAATTTTTATTTTTTAAAAAAAAAATTATAAAAATAAAAAATTGTTTAAAATGCTATAAAAAAAATTGAATATTTGAATAATAATAGTGAAATAATGAAGTTATGGTTAAAATAATCGTAGCATCTACATATTCAGAGTTAAAATTTGATAAACGAAATTGATGGATTGAAGATAGCCTTAAAGAATCTATGAAATTTTAGTGAATTTTGTGTGGATTATTCTTGAAGTGATAGTGAAGTGTTAGGTATTTGATTTTTCGACTATAGTTCGATTTTGGGATATTCTACCTTGGATTAGCTATATATTGGCCTTCTGAATTGCATTTGAACTCAATTTATTGAAGTTAAGATTGCTGTGTTTCTGACACTCTTTGATTGCTTATTGATTATGAACTGGATAGACATTAACTCACTTGAATTTAGGGATGTCAACGGGGCGGGTTCGGGACGGTTCTGCAGGCCCCAAGATCCGCCACGCTAGAAAATATTAGGCTCCGAGACCCGCTCCGCCCCGCTTCCACCCGGCTCCAGGACCTGCTCCGCCCCGAACCCTCCGGGTTCGGAGCCAACCCGGCAAACCCGTTTTTAAAAAAAATATATAATAATAAATATTTTTTTAACAATGAACAAATAACATTAAAAGCAGACAAAAACAAATCTAAAAACAATCAAATGATTCATAAAAATAAGATAGATAAATAAATAATATATTTTTATTATATAAATATACGTATATTAGATATAATAATTTTTTAAAAAATTATTTAGAGCAGACAAACTAATTGAATTTTATATTTAAAATTATTTAAGTAAATAAATAATATATTTTTATTATATAAATGTACATATATATTAGTTATAATAATTTTAAAAAATATCCGAGTTCGGGTCCGGATTCGAGTTGGGACGGATTTTTAGTAAAACCCGTAATCTGCCCCAAACCCGGCTGGATTTAAAATTTTAAATTTACAACCTGCCCCGAAACATATTATTTATACCCGAACCCGCCTCAATAAAAGCAGGTCCGGGCCTCCCCATTTGACATCCCTAGCCTTGATCGAACATTGTGGGATAGTTAGACTGTAAATTGACTTCTACTTAACTACAATTTAAATGCAAATAAATATCCGCAATAAATATGTTCGAATAATTAAATTTTCATTAAATTTATTAATATATTTTTATGTTTTTCTTAAATAAAATTTTTACTATATTCTTAATTAAATATTCATTTATTTTTGTTTATCTAACTTTGAATATTAATATCATATTCATATGTAGTACAAATTAAAATATATAAAAAATATTTTTATTAATATTGTATAATATAATTATAATTTTAATGTTAAATATAATAATGTAAAAAAATAAATAAATACTTTATTAAGGAAATATTATTCAATCCTCATCATTACTAATAAAAATAAAAATTCTAATTCAATTTAAAATTGATAATTATAACTATAAATAAATTTACTCCCTACGTCCCAAAGAGTATACTACATTTATTTTTTGCACGTAAATTTTTAATATTAATATTATATTGTGTTGTAAAAAAGACGAAAATACCCTTAGTAGTATTGTGTAATATAAAAGTTGTGACATTTGTGTAATATATTGTAAGTTGAATGATATTTATTATGTTAGGAATGCAGTACAATTACTAAATTAAAAAATAGTACCCTTATTTTGGGACGGACGAAAATAAAAAATGGAAAATGTAACCCTTATTATGGGGCGGAGGGACTATTCTATCTTAACTGAAATTTTAAAATCAATTATACTGAAAATAGATTTAAAAGTAAACTTTTTATAATTCTAAATTTACTAAAACATTTTTCCATAAAACCATCATTTTAAAATAATAAATAAATAAATAAAATATAAGAACCAATTTGAAATCATTTTAGTTCAAACGAATCGAGTCGTTCGTAAACTCGACTCGGTTCGGCTCGATTAAAGTTTATTAACGAATCGAGTCGTTCGTGAACTCGACTCGTTCGATTCGATTAAAGTTCATACGCAAATGTTAATGACCCGAGCCGAACAACAGAAACAAGCTCGTTTAGTTAACGAACGAGCCTGAGCTTTGTTCGCGAACATTCGTTTAAATAATATATTTATTATAAATATTATATATATATAAAATTATAATTTATAAATAAATAAAATTTAATTTAAAATATATAAATAAAATAATTTTAAAATTTCTTTACAATTAATATATAAATTTAAAAAAATAAGACAAACGAGCTCGAACGAGCTTAATCGAGCCGAACATGAACACGAGTTCAAACAACAAAAATTTTTTAACGAGCCGAGCTCGAACACTACGAACGAGCTCAAAAGCTTAACGAACAAACACGAGCCTTGTTCGCAAACGTTAACGAACACTTAAAATTTGACTCGGCTCGGCTCTGCTCGGATCGTTAACATCTCTAGTCTTGTCTTGTCCCGTATGACTTGTTTGCATACCACAAATAACTAAAAAAAGACCCGAATCGATTTATAAGGTCAATTTACAGTCGAACAACGCAATCAATCCGTGTTCGAATATGTAAATGACGACTCTGATACCATATTAGATGAAGTAAATGATCGTCTGACCTAAAAACTTAAACTGATAGGGATATATATCATTTATTTATTTATTTATTTACAAACAAACAGAAGTCCACCAACAATCTGCATAGCCGTATTGTTACAAAAGAGCATTGCAGCCAAAGTCACACCCAGAAAAATGCAAGATTTCCACACCGCGATTTAGCCGATGTTTTCGCTCGTCGACTCACCCGAAAAGGGAATCCAAGATCTTGACCTCGAGGAATACATTCCCGAAGCTTTCTTGTTCCTCGACTATATTCTTAACGGACACAACAACTGACTCGCTGCAATATTTCAATCTAATCGAGCGAAGCGTCGGTATTTCTCCAATATCTAACGGTACCTCCTCTAGGTTCGGTAAACTCTCAAGAACAAGACTTTCAAGCCGCGGAAAATGACAACGATCCGCATTCCAGCGTAAAAGATCGTGGCAGGATCGAACGAGCAAGAATTTCAGACACGAAAATTCCCCCTCGACGGGATTCCATTCGGGTCCTTCGAAAGATGAAATTAGTTTCAGCACCTCAAGACGGGGCAAAGATCCGATCATCGTCATATCTTCCCAAAGCAATCGACATCCGAATAATTTCAACTTCTTCAGCGATCGCGGGAACGCAAAATTCTGTATGAACACGTCTCGATTCAACCCAAAGCAACAAATCGACTCAAGTTTCTTGAAACCAACAAGATTTCGAAGATGGTAAGGAAACTGATCGGAATCGCTGTTGTAGCTAATGCTCAGCTTCGTGATATTCGAAATTTTCGCGAGAATCTCTTCACCGCAACCGAAATTTATAATATCCGCCAGCGTTCGAAGATTTTCCAATACAATTCGATTCTTACGGGGCCAAACATTAGGAAGAACGACTCTATCGAACTTTACATGCCTAAGTTGTCTTCTGTCCCATAAATGACACGGCGCAAGTGTTGGTCCCCGCGGCCCGTGCACTTCGATCGATTGTATGTTTCTAATTTTGTCAAGAAAATCAGACATACGATCCCAATAATCATCCGAAACGTCAAGGTAGCGTAGATTAACCGACTGAAAAGCGAATCCTGGGATAAATTCGCCGTACGGATAACGACGAACCACTTTCAACACCCTTAGCAATATAGGCACAATAGCAGGCAATGTGATGACATCATGGCATATCAAAGTACGGGCGCGCGGCGACGACGATAGCAAGGAATCAAAGATCTTGTGACACTCGTCCTTTGTTAAAGAACTTTGATAAAAAACGATACGTCGTTGGGCATTCGCGACATGGGAAATGTCGCGGTTTTGTCCCCGAACCATAAATAAAAACTTCTCTTTCAAGGCTTCCCTTAAGCTTAGATCCCTCATGAGGTCATGCATTTTGCACGATTTGATTCTTCCACTCGATCCAATTTTATCAACCAAAATAAGATTTCTTTCAACGAGTTCTTTAATGGAATCTCGAGCAATTTCTTCGAAACTTTTACCTATTACGGGTTTTAAAAATCCCTCGGAAATCCATAGCTTGGAAAGCTCGGATACACTTATTTCTTGATCTTCTCGAAACATTCCCATATAAAGGAAACAAGGCTTTAAATGAACCGGCAAGTAAGCATAACTCGAAGATAATATTTCCATTGAAGGATCGTCAGGATCCGAAGATATAGCTGCGCCGACATCCCGTGCAACTCGCTCCCATTGCTCCAATCCCATCGTCGATTTCTTAAGAAGCCCTCCAATCACGACAAGTGCAAGAGGAAGGCCTTTGCAATTTCGTGCAATTTTCATCCCAATCTCTTTGAATTCGAGAGGACAACTTTCTTGTAAGAACACTTCTTTGCAAAACAAATCCCAACTCACATTCTCGTCGAGGAATTTCATTACCAGGTTAAAAGAGCATATCTCATTTGCTAAATTTGACATCCTAGTAGTTACCAAAATCCGACTTCCATTGTCATTGTCCGGAAAGAACCTTCTTAAGCTATACCAACATTCGAGACTCCAAATATCATCGAGCACAATCAAATATCGCTTTCCTGACAAACTCTTGTGCACTTTTTCGCCTAAATAGTTGTAATCAGTAGCTACGTTTTTATTTCTTTCTTGGTTAGTTAGGCTCGAAAGAACTTCGGTTAGAATTTCTCCTAAATCGTAACCTTGAGATACTGTAACCCAAGCAGAAACATGAAAATATTCGACAATGAGCTTATCATCATAAACATTTCTAGCAAGGGTGGTTTTACCTATCCCACCCATTCCAACAATGGAGATTACCTGGCGGGAAGGATTTGAGCTTGCAAGTTCTGCCATGATCTGCAGCTTTTCATCCTCAAACGCTACCATTCGATTAGTTTTCTCAATTGGACGAGATGCAGAAGGAATTGGTGTTTTAGGAACTTGGAGATGACTTACATTGGCTTCTTCGTTTTTAATCTGAATAGCCTCGAATTTGATGGAATCCATGGCTTCGATTGCTTTCTGCAGATCTGGACAGAGGAGGTCAGATCCGTTCTGATTTTGAACTGTGGATCCGGAAAGAATTTGATCTGCGATGTTTGATTCGATGGCGTCTTCTGCTGCGTGTGCTGCATCTGCAATTCGAGCCTCCAAATGTGTGGCGCCATTGTTGCAGTCTCCCTCGAGGAATTGTTGCAGGAAAAGAGCGGTTTGGCGGAGCGATTCGAGGAGTTTTGTTGCGGAAGGAGGGAAGAAATTAGGGTTTTGGTCAATGGTGATTGTGGTAACAAGAGAGGTAAGTGCTGCATAAGCTGCCATTATGGACTGACTCTATCTATGAGACTACGATTGTCCTTCCTAGGACTCGATCTTCTGTACACGTCTACCAATACCAAATTCTTTGGCTCTGTTTCTTTGGTCACGAGTTTGGAAACTTGCTGAGTTATTACTGTTGAAGTCGAATTAAGTTTCAAATCACCTCTCTAGTTTATAACGTATTAGATTCTGTAGGCGCGTAGCATCTGCGGATTTTTATATTATAAAAATTTAAAAAAAAAACTAAAGTTTATATAGATAGATTTTGACTTTTTCAAAATAAATAAATACACTCTGGTATGCTTGTCCACGTGGCAGTAGAACTAATTAACGATTTAATGCAATAATAAATTATAATTTAATCAAATATATTACTAGCTTAGAAATTGATTCCGGCCTTACAATTCTCATTTGTGAGATATGGTGGATTCCCGGGCAACTCGATGCGAGCTCCCAGTGATATGCAATCAGTTTTCCGGAAAGATAAGTTAAATCAACTCAAGAAAAAGCACACGACGACAAATTGTATTGGATGATGATATCGATTATTATAGATTGTGTTTACCTGTTAGATTTTTAAAAAATTTTACTGTTTAATTTTGTCTGAAAACCAAATAAGAAAAATCCTATACCTAAGGCTACTCGTCACACGTGACTAGCAGGTTGGTAGGTATGCAAAATTAACACAATAAAAAGCTGCAAGATTCACGCAAGGAGAAGCATTTTTAATAAATCATTAAAATCAAATCTTACAAATAAATACACTTTAAAAATTATTCTCCAAAATATTTCAAAATCAAAATTAAAAACCAAAAAACCACAAGTAAACACACACTTTTAAGGGTGTGTTTGTTCGAGGGTTTGAATTTTGAATTGGGATTTGAATAGTAAAAATTTTGAATTTAAATAGTTGTATGATGTGATATAAATAGGGTTTGATGTGATGTTTTGAATGTAAAATTGATTTTTAGTATAATATAAAAAATAAAAAATAGGTGTTTGATTTGATGTTTTTTTTTAAAAAAAATGAGATAAACAGTAGAAGTCCACCAAAATCCTTCAAACAAACACACCCTAACTCTAATTTATAAGATGCAAAAAGAAAAAAAAAAAACCTGATAGAGAAAGAAAATGCTGAAAATATTTTTTGTCTTCGTTCCTTTCCCCACCTTCCATAGCTTCCACCTTCATTTGAATTCCCTGAGATGAAACCGTTAAAACATTTATTGGCCACTAACTATTCATTAGAAATTTTTTAATCTTTCTTTTAGTGGCCAATTAATTTCTCTTGCCAAAATCAGGTTCCACCACCCTTCCACTGCTAAAAGAATGAAATTTCCATCATCATAAACCATGGTCAATCTCACACATTAATTCCCCTCTTCATTCTTCTAGTCTCCTAAATTTTCCTCTCACCACCAAAAAAAAAAAAAAAAAAAAAAAAAAAAACCGTTCATATCTGAAATATGAGCTGAAATAATTTCGGTATTTGAATTACAAACCCAACTATCTCTTCAAATCTTGAACCAATTTTGCTCCGATCCGTTTTGGCTTTTGCCCTCTTGCCCAACTCATTACAAATTTCCATTGGCCCGCCAAATATTTTTTATGCGCCAACATATATATATATATATATAAAATATATGTCATTTTGTAAAGGATAAAATTTTATATAATATAAATAAATAAAAATATTTATTTATAATTAATATAATTTATATATAAAAAATTATTTTTAACAATATAAATTATATTTAGTGTAGTTTATTTATTTTTATTATTTAATTATAATATTTTTTAATAAATATAAATTTTAATATATGTCGGATTTTGGTCCGGATTCAATTTTAAGTAAAAATTTAAAAATTGTAAAAGTTTTTCAGGTCGGTCAGGTCCGAGTATAATCGGATCCCAGTACAAGTCTCGGTCCAATTTGGGTCTTTGATCCGATAATATGCATTTGGGTCGGATCTTAGATCCAACTGGTGTTGAATATGAAATTTGATTATATTCTAAAATTTAATGATATGATTTAGATATAATTGACTTGGCCTATGATTTGCTAGGCTATAAATATAAATATAAATGTATTTTCACTTTAACAAATCCAATTGCGTATTTCATAATAAAATTTCTGGTTTGACAGCGTTCACGGACGTAGATCATTGTGATGGAATTAGATCACCAAATTCTTATTTTCTTGTATTCTTGTTTGCACTTCTCAATTTTCTAATTTTTGCAACTTGTATCTGAGCTTTAGATTTTGTTTAAGTGAGAGTTTAGATGGACGATGATTTTGCTTTCAAAGAGTTTGATGGAATAAACTTCGATTTTTGAAAAATGAGGCTTTGGAAAATGCATATAGAAGATTACGTGACTTATCTTAAATTCTATTTAATTAATTAGAATAGGTTTAGGCTCCATTTGGATTGATTTTTGGCGGTTACTTTTAGTTTTTATTTCTTAAAAAAAAATATTTGTATCTGTTTGCATTAATTTTTGTCAAAAGTATAAGGAAAGTATAAGCAGCTTTTTTAGGTTGAAAAATACTTTTATATTTAAAAAAAGCACTTGTATCCTTCATAGTAATAATAATAATAATGATAATAATAATACAATACTATAATATATTATAAAAATAATTAATTTATATATTATATTTTAAAATATAATTATATTATTATTTTTAATTTATATGTTATATTTGAATTAAAATTTAAAATTATAATTGAGATACCAATTTTAAAAAAAAGTCTATAATTTTTTTAATTATACTAAAATTATTAAATATAAGTTATAAAATTTTAAAATAAATTGGAAAATACAAATAATTTAATATTCCTATAAGATTATAATTTTATTTTTAATTTATATATTTTCTTTAAAATATTTAAATATAATTAATAAAACTTTAAAAAAATAAATTATAAAAATTTTATAGAAAAATACAATTATATTAACAACATGTAGTAATTTTAATAATTTAAAAATAATTTAATTATATTACATCCAAACAATTTTATTTTTTTATTTTTTTTATAAAAAAACTATTTTTATAATGATTTCAAATACAACATCAAATTACTGGTTTTGACTTCTATTTCTGCTTTTGTTTTTTCGCTTATGCTTCTCAATCCAAACACGCCAATTAGACTTTATAAAAAGTGTTTTAGGCTTATCAGACCCTATTTATATATATAATTTTAATTTAATATAAAAATTATTATATTTTAAAATAGTTATAACTTAAATAAATTTAGTGAAAATAACTAAATAGTTTTTTTAATTTATTTTAACTATAACTATATATGTTTACATAAAATAATAATTGTAATTATATATTTTTTACTAATATTAAATTTTAAAAAATAATTATTATATAGATTTTTAAATAGACTTAAAACGGTCTCAGTCTAGAAATAAAATTAATAACTTAGGTATTGGATTTGATCATCGATAAATATTTAATTTTATTAGTTTCTAAATAAATTAATTATAGTTACCGACACGCGCCTAATAACCAACTTTTCCTTAATTTCTCGAATATCTAGGTACGTCCGTCAACTGATTCCCTAGTTAGACTAAAACTCTAGTGACGCCACAAAAAATTTACTAGTCTAACCGCCTTCCGAATTAGAGGAGCCTAATTCAATTTAACAATTACCTCTGCGAAATTGTTTAAAATTGATTATGTCATTTCTTAATGGTGTAGGCCACTGGTTGCTACTTGAACCAAATATTTAGTTTAACAATTAATCTTTACTCCAATTAAAATACCTAACCACAATACTCAACTAAATAAAAGATTATAAATTAAAGAAATAAAAAATCACAAAAATACGTAGGAACCAAAGAAATATCATAAATAAAAACAAGTCTAATATTTCAAATCGATACCAAGTTGTTTCTTTCACTCCTAGACTAGAAAAGTAAACTACTTGACCGGCGCCAAAATTTGATAGACGTTCGTCACATGCTACAATATCTAAATAAAATAAACATACTTCATCAGTAAAAATAACGTAGTATAGACGAAGTAGGGTTGTCTTCTTAGGGAATTAAAAAAAATTTATTTTCGATTCTCTAATTTATAAATATAATAAAAGGGGATTTTTTAAGTAGGAAATAAAATAACAAACTAAAAACTCTACGACTAAATGATAAATTCAATAAAAATAAGTTTTCAGTTTAGGAATAAAATATAGGTCAAACCAAACTCTAAAACAAGCCTAGACTTTACAATTTTTTTGTTTCAAGCTAATAGGCCAAGCTTACATCATAAGTTTTTAAAATAGGTCTAACCTTGCTTGGTCTATTTCCATTCCAAGGAGACAGGGTTGAAGGAGAAATCATGTTGTATACAAAAAGTTCGTCAGGAAGATAATTAGTGCAGTTCGACTAACTCTTTCGAAGAACGTCTTGTTTCACACGGTTCATATAAAATTGATACTGAAGATTTTGAGAATCATGTCAGATATGTACGAACAATTGTGTGCTGCTAATAGGCACAACCTGCCCGCACAGAGTAGGTTGACCGCATACCTACTTTGGATACCTTGAAACCTGTTCCATACACGTTGGAATAGGGCAAATTCATATGCCCTATGCAAAGGACATGCATGAGATGTCAATGAACTGTTCATTTCATCCTGCATGATATTTATGATCTCGTACACACTGCACAAAACTATGCACATAGTCAATTTTGTCTTATGTGTGCAGTGATGTATATTTTGTTTGTATGTGTGTTTGAATCAATAGAGATTCATACACTTTGCTTGGATGTTTTTCTCTCTCTTTTACAGAGTGTTGAGAGGTGCTTTTATGGAATTTTGAAGCTGACAAAGAAGAAGGATTTTTTGAAATTGAAATATAAGGAAATAAGCAACTAGTATGACACCTTAGCCTTAGCTTAGTCGTTGAGTTGTAATTGTCAGTTCATTTGTGTTTGTAAAACAATATGGAGCTTGGATAGATGATAGGTTGGATTGTTGTGTTTGGTGTATTGGATGGTGTAAACCAAGTGTTTAGTTTAGTTAAAGATTTCTGGATTGAAATCCCCCGTGCGAAGGTTTGAATACCAAACTTGGTAAACAAATTCGTGTTGTTTTTTTTTTATTTGCAATCACTCAGCCATCGATTGTACACAAACACACACTGTTGTATTAACCGCGCGACAACCACGTAGTATTTATTGTATTTACGTCGATAGTTCTACAACTCTGCTTTGCAAGTAGCGCAGAAGAGTTGGATCTTTTATTCGATTGGTGCCCTAATTTTCAACAATTTTTTTCCTTTTATTTAATGGAGTTTTAAAAATTACATGAATATATATATTGTAATGTTTGATGTAAAATCTTATAAGAAAATAATGTAATATTTCTTAAAAAGTTTATTATTGATAAACCTCAATATATAAACAAAACTTATATTTTACTTAGAATATTATGTCAAAAACTCATATTTTCTAATGCTCATATATATTACATAGAAAATATTCTAATTTAAATTTTTATTATTAACAAAATATGCAATGACCCTGTATAAGGCTAGTTTAACAATAATAAAAAAAAAAAAAAAAATGACCAAAATAATCCTTAGGGCATCGGAATTGCTTACATAACAATATTCCGTCCACGGCCAATCTATCCATTTGTATTTGGCGTCATTGTTTTTAACATTAAAAATATTCTTATATTTGTATAATTTTTTTATACAAATATCATTACATTATTATTATAAAACACCAATAGAAAAAATAATTAATATTCAAGGATTAAGTAAACAGATAGATTGGTGGTGGACGGAGGTAGTATATATTTTAATTATACTCCTAAAATGATAAGTTGATGACGTACCAAGGACTTAGCCAAAAAAGAAGTTTACCCAATATTCAAACCTGCTGTCCAAACAAACCCTTTGATCCAAATCCAACGTTAACAGCCAATAATAAGAGGAAAAGCCCAGATAATGATATATTTAGTAATATTTCCCAATGTGGCTAAAACATCATATCTCATTCATCCTCTCTGGATTTTCTATTTGTCAAAATGATGAATATAATCTCTCTCTCTCTCTCTCTCTCTCTCAAATACACACACATATACACAACCAAGCCAAATTGATGAATGAATACAACAAAATCTACAACCATAAATGTTTCTCAGCTCAGACAGATTTTAGTATATGTCCTTATATTGTTTGTGTACATGTGTATAGTCACTCAACCAGTCCTTTTCCTCCAAGTAAAAGAGAGAAATTTTCGTCATTGAACTTACCTTCGCAATGACAGCCTTTGAATCATCATCCATCATTCTATGCAAAAGGGTTCCCTCCAGCAGACGAGGACGATGATGATGATGCAGTAGCAACAGGGCCTTGAGCATGATGAACATTCCTGTAAGAACATCCCCAAAAAAGATGAGCATTAATCAACTCTGTTGTGTCGATTAGAGAATACTGAATAGAACAGCGCTGTTGCTCAATCATCGATATAAATTCACTTGTTCAAAGCAGGTTGGATAAGCCAACAACCAAGATGAAAAGAAAAACGCCAATGCATACGCCAAAATTAAATTCGAGAATGTTTCCATGAATTTGTGCTAAGTACTGAAATCAAACACAACCACGATGTTTTCCCAGTATTGCACAAACATTTAGAGGCTTCAAGATTCTGCAATTATTCGAATACTACGCCAATTTTTAACTAGACAATTCCTTGTGTTGTAATCATCAACGGTTTAAATAAAGTGTTAAGAGTGTTCACTTAGTGTTTCAAAATAAATGATTCTCCAAAAATATTACCTAAAAAGACAATATATATACACATAATAATAAAAGTCAACAAAAACACAAAAAATATTATTTCTTATAATACTTCCACAATTTCTTATATATCACAACAAAAACACCTCTACTATGAATAGTCAACAAAAATACTTAAAACTATAAAACACTAGACCAAAAGACTCAATTTCTTAGGTTAGAAGTCTAGTCTAATTGTAACTATGGAATTCTCAATATCTATAGTGTCAGTGGAGAAATAGTGGTAATTATGCCCAAGTTTTTATATTTGATGTATCTCCTTCTCAAACTTCTGTAATACCAATTTATTTAGGCATCGAATATAAATAAATTCAAAATTGAGAAATTGTGTCAATTTCCAGTGCATTCCCAATTTCCCTGAAAAAAAAGACATAACATCCAATACCTATTTTCACCTCAATTTTTAAAATTGACAATAAAAGTTGGCGAACTTCCTCGTGAAATGACCATTGTCACTAAGTACTTCAATTCCTTAAGGCTATTACAGCAATATCTAAATCTATTCAATGATTATGAGTGTAAATCACTAAATGATTGCAATCGCAACACCAAATTGGTGAAAGACCATAGAATCTATAATTTCCTAGAAGACTAAAGGTTGAGTTTCATGAAGTTATTGACCAGCACCTTCTGCCCTCTAGTTGTGAAGTCAATGGTGAGAAAATCACGGCTATATTATGCTTTGAAAGAAGGAAGCTACTAGAAGTGTTGAGATTGGCTTTTGGTGCAAGGGTAAGTAATGGCTGAAAGATCTCAAAAGTATGGTGCGATGAGTGATGACTGCAGAAAACCATGCCATACTCGAAAAATCTGCTGGAAAAATCATGTAACCGGAAAAGTAGAACTGGTGACATAAACCAAGAATTGCAAATAAATGAATTGGATGAGTTTGACACCACAAGAAGAGGATTAGAAAAATAAAAGAACAAAAAAACAGATAGATAGGGAATAAATTAAATCTACTTCCTTGAGGCATTGTCTCTATTGCACAGCATGGTTACTTTTTATAATAACTCTGTTGAATTTTTATATGGATACACATTTATGTATACACATAATCACAATATAAAATAACATTAAGCAGGTAATAAACTTAGCAGAGAAAATAAGACAGATGAAATGGTCGACAACCATGGGAATTGCTAATGAAATGAAACTAAGCATACTTGTAGGTTTCTAGCAGGCAACAATATCCTCTTGTTGCTCAGGTCAAATGTGTTAAATCCTTCAATCATTATGCACATGGGAAATTTTTTGTGAGGGTACGAAACAACCACACAAGACAGCAAAAAAATGAATATTAAAATATATGAGCTATGCATTTGATTATTTATAAAAAATGATTAAAAGTCAGAGAAGAATTACGGTATCTGAGGAGGTGGTGCTTGCCCTGCCATGAATCCCAAAGATCCTGGAAGACAAAAGCATTATTCGTGGTATTCAATCATAAGAAAGAAGAAAATTCCCCAAGGAGGCAACTGAACAAAGAAAACATACCACTTGATGGATCAAATGAAACTCCACCAGGTACATAGGATGGCACTGCACCTTGGGGAAACCACATTTCATTTCCTACCCCATCAACATCTGAAGTCGGCATCTGGGTGTTTGGCAAAGTGGCTTGCAAAGAGCTCATGTCCCAGAACTGAGACTACATGTATAGCATTGTAATGTTAGAATTATACTAATGTAATATTTCTCAGAGTAAATTACAGTGCTTTACTTGTGACTGTGATATATAGAGAATATATAAATAAAGAAGTATTCCCTTTTTTTATTCCTTTAGGTATTGTAAAGCAGTTGACATCACTAACACGGGTATTGCACAGTGATTATTAATGGCCTAGAATATAATTCAAATTTTATTGAAATTCGAACAAAAAAGACAACAATTTTTGCAGATAGTCCATCCAAAGAACTTTGTAGCAATTCATGTTATTTTTATAATTGTATCCTGGGATGACAATCACGGGCTTTCCTTTTCAATTTCTACATTGATTTAGGTTAACCAAGCTTGATACGAAACAGGGAGGCACCACAAATTTTTCAAAATGTCTGAACGACAAATTTCTTCGCACTTGAGCTATTTTGCTCCAAAAGAAAATTGAACTACAATGCTCGTACAGATAAACATTAATATTAAAAATTGAGAGAAGACAGAAAAACATAGCAGGAGTCAGTAAAAGAATGAGTAATATGGAGCTAAATAATCTTAATAACATGGCCAATTGTCGAAACAGTTTTGCATAACAAAATTGTTCTATTGTTTATGCATTAGAGACTAGATATTGTAGAAGAGTGTTGAGATGTATAAGAATGTATGGATCAGTTTGACTTATTAAACCAAAGTTTCCAACAATGACAACCACTCATCATGCCGTCAATTAAATATGCTTTACACACATGTTTGAAAACATCTAAAATGAAAAGACTAAAACAGCTAAATTTGTGGAAGATATGCTAGGAGTAAAGATTTTGTATATAAAAAAAAAGGCAGGCTGTTGCTTTTCACTAAAATATTACTGCTCAACTAAGATATAAATATTTTGTGGAGTTCGTATTACCTACAGAGTGCATTAGAATGATTAATAGTTGAAGATATACACAAAGTGCCTCATCCAAGGCATGCATCATATACAAAAGATACGAGCCTGAATTGACATATCAAATCAACGGAAGAGGTGAGAAAGACACGTACCATACTGCTTGATTCCATGGCAGAGTCATAGGGTATATCAAATGGATTGGTAGGTTTAACATCAGTTACCAACGAATGCGCACCAGCCTGAAAGAGAACAAAAGACAGAGTACCTTGAGATATGATTGAGCGCCATGAAAGATAATGTACCATTTCTGAAACAATGGTAAAACAATTCACCATTGTACTTCCATATGATGGCACACTAGCAGCTGGTGGTTCAACATGACTTGGTGTTCTTACATTACCATCGTTATTTAACATCTGGAAGAAAGAAAGTCACATATAAATATTCAAGCGATGAAACAAATTAACAGTATTTAGTACAGTAGCAACCTCATATCCACCAAAGCCAAGGGATTGATTGGCATCAGAGACACAGGGCACTGCAGCTTTTTCATCACTTTTTAGCACGCCTGAGTTGATCTGTCCTCCAGAATAATCTTCAAATGCATTCCAGAGCTGCACATATTCAATCTATACTTACTCTTCAAAATTTTTATAAACCATTCTGTATACATGAGTCTGATGACAGCTTATAATAACTACAAATATTTCCCAGAAAAAATAAAAAGAAACTAATTTGTGTAATATATGCAATTAATTCAAAAAGAGCATTGCTTACATCAGTATGACTTCTGCTGACATCAGCAGTTTTTAGGATTCCAGGTCCAAAAGCATGCTCCAATGAAGATGCTCCATGACTAGAAGAATCTTGACATGAACTTGGGTAATCTGAGAATGGATTAAAGGTCCCTGAAGTATTTCGATCAGAAGATGGCGCTGTGGCAGGGACAGAATACTGGGTATCCTTGCTCATGTTCGGCGGCAGATCAAATGTCGCCCATCCTCCATTCCCAGGAACTGCCACATTAGAAGCCTCTCCACTGTGAGATCCAACTGACTGTTGCTGATTGAGAGCAGTTAAAGAGTCCAAAGGAGGAGGTTGGGTTGTTAGTGATTGTGCCTGTGATGATTGTTGCTGTGGAGCTGCAAAGAAGTCTAATGATGCAGGTTGAGATAAATTCGATTGTGGCTGAGGAGCAGCAAACAAGTCTACTGACGGAGGTTGTGGATTATCTGATTGTTGTGGAGAAGCCGCAAACAAATCTACCAGCAGAGGTTGTGGGGAGTGTGAGGTTTGTGGCATTTTCGAATGTTGCAGAGATAGAGTATCGAATAAGTCCACTGGTGGAGGCTGAGGTAATTTTGATTGCTGCTTAGATGGTGCAGCAAACAAGTCCAAGGTTTGCGACTGTGGTATTTCTGATTTCTCCTGAGATGGAACAGCAAACAGGTCTACTGGTGGAGATTGGGAATTACCTGATGATGCTGGTGGCGAGTGTGTATTCCTACCAGCAACATCTTGAGGTGCGAAAGGGGCACTGAAGAGGTCCAACTGTATGAAGTTCGCTGACGATGATGATTGCGGCAAAGAAGGGCATGATGAAGATTTATGAAGAGCATCCTCAGTGGATGCAGCAGGATGAGAACCACCTTTAGGCAGAGAAATCGCAGATTTGAAGGTGGAACTGCTATCGAATGATGCAAAGCTTTCCGAAGATGCAGACCTCTGCACAGTAGAAAATGGTAGAATCAGTGTTTGAGTATTTCTAAGAGATAAGAAATGGTATAACAGAAATATCACTAGTTGACGTACATTTCTTCCTTCATTGCTTCTGCCTTTTCGAGTTGAATCATGTACAGCTGTGTGGGGGGGTGGAATTTTGCTCGGCATCTCTCCTGAAGCATCACTAAACGGGCTTCCAGCAGCATCTCTATTGGGGCTAGGAGAAAAAAAATCAGATCTGAAAGCATCACCTCCACCAGAAACAGAATAATCCGAGGCTCGGGAGAAGGACCCTTCACTTGCAAACCCATCATCGCTTAAATGAGTAGGACTCAAGAAACCAGCTAGCTTGCCACCATAAAGGCCATGATCTGAGCCAACTCTTCGAGTTAGTCCAGGAGCATGTTTCCCATATTGCCGTTCTTCGTATTGAAAATCATATGGAGGGCTTTGGGAGTATGAATGATATGAGCTAGCTCTCCTTGTCTCATCTTCACGATGGCTTCTTAAGCTCTGTCGAAATCACCATGTTCATGTTAGTATTTAACAGTGGCATTCGTAAACATTCTAATTGCTAAATCAAAGATTATTAACCCCACGAGCATCTCTATAATAAAATGGAAAATTGTTCCATTCATCTGATCAAGAAATACAACCTGTGGATCTCTTGGAGGCTTATCAGATGGCTTTTCCAGAGAATACTTTTTGTCGATGTACACACTTTTGATGAACAGACGAAGTTTATCAACATTGCTGCAAGTCCAAAGGGGGCATAAGTAAAATATCAATCAATAAACAGACAATCTTTTGTCAAACTATATGGTTCTATAGAAACCTATTATCTGGTAGTCTGTTCCGATTTGGATCCCAGGCCTTCAAAAATAATTCCTTTGCACGCTGCAAGAAAAAATATTATCAGCAATTAACAAAATCAGTTGCTGATTGGCAACAAAAATGATTTTTTTCTTACCTGATTTCCACCTTTTTGAAGAGCATCCACTTCTTGAGAAGTGAACTTAGCCATGGAAACTGACTTAACCCTATGTGTGAACTCTCGGCTGCAACACAACCAGAGTTGATAAATAGTGCTAAACTATGTTCTCAACTGATGAATGTTAAGTTCATGGAAGATTTAGTAAAAATAAATAAATAAATTAAGGGTTTGTTTACTTATGATTTTTATAGCTATCTTTTCCTATTTATTGTATTAATTTCCATCCAAAAACATCACGTCTAACAATAATTTCACTTTAAAAAACATCAAAAATTCAAAACAAAAAGAATCACAAGTAAACAAACCCTACAAGAGTACCCTAAATACCAATCAACATAAGCAATTCAATATATATATATATATATAATTATCAATATTTTATCACTTTTGCTGTCATTGGTAAACTCCTAATCATAATTCACACTTTTAGAAGTACAAAATATAAATGGGCCTTTGAGACAATTCCTAGACTATACAAACCTTAACCTTCTTCCAAAGTCAAACTTCTAGGTTGCATCACTGTCACATATGCATTTAGTGCCCAAAGTTTCTATGTATGTCGGTACAATTCGAAAATAATTACATCTCACCAAACAACATTAAAAGAAGCACATTCCGACAAATATACAAACAGATCCACCTCAAGCAAAGAAACAAAACAGATGTTTGAAATGCCATAACAAGCATTCATTCAAAAGAATTCAACTGTCGACTGTCTCAAAACTTCAAGAATGATTAATACTCACTGTATTCCACTGCAAGTAACACAGACAAACGTCCAAAAGTTCGTGCACACATACTGAGGCCCCTGCATACAAAATGAGGCACAAACTTGGGCATAAGCAACAATCCAATGATCTAATTGATGAGCATAAACTTAACAAGATTAGAATCTACTCGATCAAGATTTCCTTTACATTTCCAGTTTCCACAAAAAGAAATCAAATGCCCAAATTCAAACTCGAATCCACAAACAGAAATTAAAAAGAAATCACTCCAGAATTCCAAACAACTAATAGGTCTCAGATAAACGATCAATTTCACAGAGAAGTAACCACAAATTTGCAAAAGAAGTTTCACAAATTTTGCCTAAGGGGAAACAACTCGCTTACCAAGCTGTTACAGTTAATGCATCGGCGATTGGGAGGGAGTTTCATAAGACCCCTTATAATCTTCTCGTTCCTTTCTTCTTCCCTTCTGCTGTTCATTTTTCACATTAATTTCAATCCCGAGCGCGAAACCAGAAACCCCTCCACCCAAATGTTCTTGAAAAACTCGAATACCAAAACAAGATAGCACCACCACCGGAAATTTCAATGCCCTGTTTGAAAACAATTTGAGCGAGAGAGAACTGGGTCGAAGATTTTCCTCTTTTATTGTGGGATTGATTGCGAGAAAAAGAACTCCAAATCCAGCTCTGCCTCCCTCTCTCGCTCGCCTCGGTCGCTTTATTTTCTGGATTTTGGGGAAGAAGAGTGATCGTGTCTAATTATTGCCGTTGGAAAACACTAGCGCCAGGGCTGCAGTGGTGTGTTGCGCTTCAGCAGATTGTACATTACGCACTGAGAGACGTACTGTGTATTGGCATAAATGGGAATTGTCGGGGCGATAGTATTATCCTTTAAATTAGGATGTGTCACGCTGTGTCTCTGTTGTATTTTATATTTGAAAATTTTGAATTAAAAAATAACTTTTAATTAGATATTTTATTTAATTTTCATTTGAAATTGAGTATTTTATTTGATTTTTGATTTAAAAGTATTTTAAGTACGAAAAAAATAATATATTTATATTGAAAAATTAAATATTATCTCTAGTTAAAAAAGAAATTAATATAGTTTACTTTTTGTTTTATTGTACATTTCCATATAAATATCTTTATATTTGTATTATATAATAGTTAGATGTATTTTTATTAAATATCTATTAGTAAAGTTTAGATGTAATTTATTCCTATTTTTCACATCATTTGTCCTTTTATTTTTTTAGAAATATGATTATTTACTTTAATCACATTTTAAATTTTATAATTTGTTTAATTTTAATCAAATTATTTATTTGTCTTAATCTTAATCTATAATTATTTTTTACTAAATAATAATTATTTCTACAAATACATTTTTTCATTACCTACTAATTATACTTTATCTAAATTCTCGTATATAATAGATCCAAAATATACGGGATGAATGGATTAATATTTAAAGAACTACGTGCAAAAGTAAAAAAAATAGTGAGTATTTTTTTATTGAAATAAAAAATTTAAAATTGATTCTGTAATTAATAAAAAAAATTGTACTCCCTTCGGCCCCAAAAAAGTTGCCTTGTTTTTCCATTTTCGTTCGTCTCGAAACAATTGTCTTCTTTCCTTATTTAGTAATCGTGGTTCTCACTTTATAACAAAATTATTCATTTTTCCAAACTATCCATAATTATTACTATAATCTACTTTTTAAAATTCTTTTAGTCTTTTATATTCTACTTTATACCGTGCCAACACCCAATAAGACGTCTATTTTGGGATGAAGGGAGTATATGATTTTTTTGTTTGAATTAGAAGAATTTTTTATTTGATTTTTGTATTTAATACTCTCTCCGTCCAGTTAGAAAGTATACATATTTTTATTTTGGGATGTCCAATTACAAAGTAAACATTTCATTAAATACCTCATTTTTTTTCTACAAATATCTTTACTTTACATCACTTCATTACTTTTACACCAAAAAGCAAGGGCAAAAATGTCATTACATTATTTTTAACTACTCATTATAATTAAAATACAATTATTTCTTAAACACCGCGTCAAAAATAAATGTATATTTTGTGTGTGAACGGAGGGAGTATTATTTTTTATCATGTAACTGATATTCATAAAACATGTCTTTCTTTGGATTGAATGAATTTGATTTGATTTGATTTTTGTATTTAAATAATATTTTATTTAACTTTATAAAATAAAATGGTATAATTTTTGGAAAAAAGAGTAACAATTAAGAAACTTTTGCTAAAAAAATACACCTATCCTATATTAGCTTCATCTCATTTAAATTGACTAAAGTTTGTGTGAGATAGAAATATTTAAAATACTCCAAGTTTAGTGTACAAAATTGTGGTGATTAATATATATATATATATATATTAAGTTTTTGCATCTAATTAAACAAATATATTTTTGTGGACGGATGAATATACAAATTTAAATTTAAATGAATTTTTCTAATACAAATACAAACTTTACGTAATTTTTTTTTATTTTTTTATTGTGATATTAGTTTTATTTTAAAAATAAGTAAATATGATAACAAACTCTATATTTTAAAATAAATAATTAGTATTGAATAAGATATTTTAAATATAAAATTAATTGTGTATGTAAAATAAATATTTTTTTGGTAAAATTGCTTATAACTCTCCTATAGTTTCGAAATTCAGCGTGAAATCTCCTTGTACTTTAAAAATTGTATGGTACCTCTTATACTTTAAAAAACGTTGCATGAAACCCCACCACTATGAAATTTTCCTCGTGTGATAAGAAGATGATTTCCTATCTATATGTTTTGCATGGCAGAGGGGTTTTCTGCAATATTTTTTAAAGTACAAGTGGGCGTCATGCAATTTTTAAGAGTAAAATGAGGATTTATGCTGAGTTTTGAAACCACAAAGTGGTTTCATGCAATATTTTTTAAAATATAAGGTGACGTTATGCAATTTTTAAAGTAGATGGGGAATTTACGTTGAGTTTCGAAACCACAAGGGAGTTATGGACAATTTTGCTATATTTTTTTATAGAAAAAATGCAATGAATTTGTTCTTTTTATTTTAATATAATTTTTATAAAATAAATTACTCACGATTTCAATAGAAATATTTATTTAGAAAGTGTTTGGTAAATAATTTATTTAAGAATTTTTAGTTTTTACAATTATTTTAAAGATGTGTTACAATTAATTGATAATCTTTATTTAATTAAGTTGCTAATTCAATTAACTATTTGCGTTAAATTTATACAGTTAACAATTACAACAAAAATGCCAAACACACAATAAAAACGACTTCATTCAAATAATATTATCTCATTCTATTCAAACTTATAAGATTTTGTTCACTTGGAAATTTAACTTCAGTTTTTTTTACTATTTGATTGTTACAATTTTTATATAAAAAAAATTCTCTTAAAAATATAATATTCATAACTTGTTGAGATATTTTACATATTCAGTTTTAAATTTAGTAGATTTATATTTATATTTGATTTTATTTATAGATTAGATCTCCTTGTTTTGATGATCAATAAGATATTTTTATTATTTTCTCCCAAAATTTCTAAAAAAACTATTATTAAAATTAAAAATCTAAAATTAAAAAAACATTAATAAACAAATCCAAAATTTTGTAACCATGTTCCTTTTAATAAATTCAGACACATATTTGGAATACGCCCCCATCATGAGTATTGCATTTCTGGCAGATAGAGCTGTTAACGATTCGAGCCAAGCCAAATTTTAAGTGTTCGTTAACGATCGCGAACAAGGCTCGTATTCGTTCGTTAAGTTTTCGAGCTCGTTCGTAGTGTTCGAGCTCGGCTTGTTAAGAATTTTTGTTGTTTGAGCCCGTGTTCGTGTTCGGCTCGATTAAACTCGTTTGTCTTATTTTTTTAAATTTATATATAAATTATAAAGAAAATTTTAAATTATTTTATTTATATATTTTAATTTAATATTTTATTTATTTATAAATTATAATTTTATATGTATATATAATATTTATAACAAAAATATTATTTAAACGAACATTCGCGAATAAAGCTCGGGCTCGTCCGTTAACCAAACGAGTTTGTTTATGTTGTTCGGCTCGTCTCGTTAACGTTCACGAACCAGCTTTAACTGAGCCGAGTTCACGAACGGCTCGATTCGTTTAACAGCTCTATCGGTGGATAAAACATATCTCAATTGGCTACCGCTTTCCCATTCTTATGTTTGACCGGAATTTGCACAAAACTTAAAATTATCTAATTTGTCATCCTCCTTCCAATATAGCATGCAACCGAGCTGATAATATTATTTTTTTCGCAAAGTAAGCCTAGTTTTTCAATAAACTCTCTTATTTCTTAAAAGTTTTTTTACATAACAATTTTTCTAGGGCACTCTTGAATATCACTATAAATCTCCAAATATATTTTTTTTGCATGTAAATTTTGAAATATAAATATAAATATAAATACAATAGATCTATATCCTTGGAAAAACATAATTTTGTTACATAAAGATATTTTTGTAATATATATAATTTTCAAGAGGTTTTTTTTTTTCTTTTCTTTTAAAATTATGTAAGGAGTACAATTACTAAAAACGGGCACGTATAAAAAAAATTTAACCGACACATTGATTATAGAACACATCAAAATACAAGCACGAATACGTGGATTCTGAACACATCGAAATGAAAAAACGGATACATTGATTCCTAATGGAATGAATTATTATTATTATTATCATCATTTGTGTACATGCATCTTCTTCTTCTTCTTCAAGATCTCAAGGATTAATGATTTGCAGTACTAGCTCTTTTTTTCAACGAGCTGGATTTCATGTCCCTGAGGCAAAAATGCATTAAACCCTAAAATCAGTTCCCGATTACCTTCAAGCAGATCCTTCATTTTGGTTACGACGCACTTCGGACAAGCTCTCTGATCCTTGAATTTCATCATGATATCCAAAAACTCGCCGGTCTTATCCTCGTCGTCATCAAACGTGTCTTCGACCTGCATCAGATAAGATAACCCTTCGGCTACTGTCGAGAGCTTCTCCCAACCGGCTCCCGACTTCGATGCTTCCGCCACCACGCTGACGTCGCGGGACTTCGACTTAGACCTCTTCTTCATTTCCAAATCGATTGATCGATCGATCGATGATTCCCAGAATTGGAATGACCAAGAAAATTGAACGATCACAGAGGCTTCTTCTTCAAATTCGACGAATGAATGAATATTGGAGGAAGAATTTGATTTGTAGCTCTTCAAGAAATGAATCAATGGCGGAAAGAAAGAAACTTAACTGCCAACAGTTAGTGATATTGTGAATGGAATGGGGTTGGGAATATGTATATATATATATATATATATGTATGTATATATAATTGAGAGGTTGGAGACGAATCAGTTAATTGGATTGGGGAGAGAGTGTTAGTTTCAGGGGCGGATCTAGAGTAGGGCGAGCGGCGAGCCCCCTCACCCCACATTTTATTTAATATTTATATATATTTAAAAAAATATATAAATATAATAGAAATATTAATAGAGAATTATAAAAAAATATTGAAAATTAAAAAATTTGTTTGATTTTAATTTTTAAGTAAAAATTATTATTATTTAGTTAGTATAATTTTTAACAATATATATTTTTAAATATATCATATTCAAATAGTAAAATTGCTCGTAATTTCCATATGGTTTTGAAAT